TAAAAGGAACTACCTAGAAAATAAGTTGTTTCCAAAGCAGTTTAAAAAACTTCCCTTCTTCCCAAGACGTGTAACATCAAATTTCCCAGACTCTCGAATAAAATCAACATTTATAAAAAAAAAAAAAAACAAAAACAGGGGCGCCTGGGTGGCTCAGTTGGATAGGCGTCAGACTTCGGCTCGGGTCATGATCTCATGGTTCGTGGGTTCGAGCCTCACGTAGGGCTCTGTGCTGACAGCTCAGAGCCTGGAGCCAGCTTCTGATTCTGTGCATCTGTCTCTCTTTCTCTGCCCCTCTCCTGCTTGTACTCTCTCTCTCAAAAACAAATAAGCATTAAAAAAAAATTTTATAAATACATAAACAAACACCAACAAAGTTTTATTAGGGGTACCCAGCTGGCTCGGTTGGTACAGCATGCAACTCTTGATCTCAGAGTTGTGAGTTCAAGCCCATGTTGGACGTTGAGCCTACTTAAAAAAAAAAAAATTCTTACAGTTTTATCAATTTGAGGTCTTTTTATTTCAAGTGCTGTTATAATCATCTATTCTGAGCTGTCAAAAACTTTACAAGCATATAATAACTAAAGATCTTTCTTTTTTAGCCCTTATGTCAGCAGAATAACTTGGCACTATAGTTTAAAAAAAAAAAAAGGCCACCAAAATTATCTATTTATACCATAGGAAAAACCTGAAATGAAAGGGCGGACAGAAACAGTACAAAAGGTAAATTCTTGAAGATATTTTTTCCTTAGTGCAACCAACTTCAAAACATTTTAAAAGTTGAAGTGAAATTCATCTAGGCTCTCTAGTGTAAAACTTGGCTCTAAGCCAACTGATCTATGAAAACAAGGATTTCAGCCAACATAATATTTTCTTTGAATTTTGGCACAAAAACAGCTCTACAAAGACTGAATTGTTAAGAAGATAAAACATGCCAAGTCTAGTAGATACAATCAGAAAACCATTTACACAGAATAAATACCATAAAGATCCCTGGGAAAATATTATAAAGTGGCTATAATTTGGTTTCTTCAGAGTTTCTCACTCTTTAGTACTTCACTTTATAGAAGCAAAGGAATATAGAACAGTTCTTAGGTCAGTGGTTTTTAGGCTTTACTATAGATAAGAATCATGAGTGAGGCTTTCAGATCCAGTACATCTGAGGTAAATCCTGATAATTTACATTTCTAACAAGTTCTCAGGAACGTGCTGATGATGGTGATTTGGGAACTGTACTTTGAGAAATGTAATCTTGAACTCCAGGGAAAATCCAAGGTTTTCCTAAAGATAAATTTATCTTATTCAAACAAGCCAAAAATTGTCATCTTTCTAAAAGCAACAACAAACTTTCCTTCTCTCGTGAAAAAAGAAAAACAAAAAGTCAAAGAACAAGCATCACGCATTCCACAAAGGTTATTAAACAATGAATCCAGATCTCTGCATTACTGCATTGATTCTGTGAAACACACTTTTTCCTCATTTTAACATCCCTGTTAAATGAATGAAATAGAAATGCATCTTATTACTGTCCTAGACTTGCAATGTTTTTTGCTTTTTAGTGCATCTTAAAACAAGAACCCAGATGATATTGTAATCAAGTACATCTTGGATTTGATGCAATATAGTAGTATTAAATTACAAGCACAGCAAGGCTCTTTGGGAATTCAATACACTTAACTTCAAAAAAGGGATGAGGTTACGAGGAAAAAATACCACCTTATATCCTTATCCTCTGGGGTAACTTGTATGGTCCCTAGAAGAAAATATGAAAAACAGTCCATGGTACCTAGTGGTCAGATGTCAATGCTCAAGAATTTTCTTTATTAAAATAGCAGAGATCTGAAGTGCAAGCATTTCCTAAAACAAAAATGATACTGCACTATCTTGTATTTGAAAACTATTGAGTGTTATGTAAGCCTATATCATACCTTTTGATCATAAGATAACCTTGTTAAACATGTCGGGTAAGTTATTTCCAAACTGAGGAATCTGAAGCCTAGAGATGTTAAAGGTTGTATGGAAAACGGGAAAGGTTGGGACCAGAACTTGCTTCTTGCTTCTATGGTCCAAGCCAAATATATACAGAGTTGCGTCTTAATCCTTTGACCTTCTATTTGACTTCATAATGATTAAATTTTAACTGTTCTGCCACAAAATATGGTATTGGGAAGTTACTGAAATCTCTATTGATCGAATTCCTCATTTGGACAAGATGACTAAGGCTCCTCATACAATTTTAACATTTTCCACATTATCCTCAACACAGAGTAGACGGAGTCTGAAAGGAGTGAAAGGAGCTTCATTTACTTAAAGTGATTTTTCCTCTTCACAGAGTTCTTTCTAGAGACTCAATGAGCACCTTCTGTCACCAGTGTAGGAGCCAAGACAAGGTTTTTCATTTGGACTGCAAATTTATTGGTTGTTAGCAAATAAAATATGCCTCACTCTGAAATTAAAAGATGCCTAACAAAAATAGCTCTTCTATTTTTGACTTTCTCTATCAGAAATCTACCTGAAGCTTTTTAAAAGCAGGTTTGATTATTTTATTTTCAAAAGAAAAGAAATATTCCTGTAAAAAGATTATTTTGGACTGTTACGCCATAAAATATTTTAGTCCTGCTAAACACAGAAATGTCCATACACTTCAAGGAACTCAGAATGAAGAATAAAAAGTTTTCTAGTTAACCCAAAACCACAATAAACAGCTCAAAAAAATCATCTGCCTGAAAAATCTACTTTCTTAATTTTTATTATCTTATGTGTAAAGTATCAAACATCACTTTGTTATTCTGAATATACTTGCCACACTCTGCATAAACTCTTACAAGTTCAGAACTTCAAGTGACCAGATTTATAGACATCAAAAAATTCTGTGAAAATTTAAATACATATAAATAAATGCAGAACTACCACTTTTATTATGCTACCTAATCAAGTGATAACAAACTATAGGTAATGAGATAAATGGATCTTTCCAAATGGCCACAGTACTCTGGGACAATTATTTCTACTTTAGCATACTTGCATTAACTTCCACTAAAAATGTCTTAGCAAAAGACTAACATCTAAATAGAGATCTTCTTAAGTTTTAGTGGTAAACATAATATTTGCTATTTGGAACCTTTTCAATTTGGCAGTTTCCCGGGGGGGGGGGGGGGGGGGGGGGGGGGGGGGGGGGGGGGGGGGGG